TTTTTTACGCAACCAATCCGGGGGGGGGGGGCAAGTGCCCCACCTTGCCCCTACCTGCGGGCGCCCATGTCTCCACATGTCCTAAGCCTATGCCTATGTACGTTTTGAACCTTTCTTTCTATCCCAAGCCCAATATAAAATATAAATATTTATAAGCGGTGTTAAGTTTGGGGTCCCACAGGGCTCGGTGCTAGGCTAGGGTGACCGAATCATGAACTGGAAAAAACGGGACACACCCAATGAGGTTTGGGGGGGGGGGTACCCTCCAGCTAAAGAGGGGTCCGGGGGCCTCCGCCTGAAACTATTTATTGAAATAGAATTTTACCCTGCCAAGTGCCAGACACTATCAGTCTCTAGAAGTTGTACTCCTCTACACTACCTTACGAACTGCATGGCCATATACTTGAGCCAGTTTTCTCCGTAAAGTACCTGGGTGTTACCATTCAAAGAGAGGTCCGCTGGGACGAGCATATTAACAATGTATGTAACCAACCAAACCAAGCCTTGGGGTTCTTAAGGCGTTATCTAAAGATTTGTAACTCCTGTGTGAAAGAAAGAGCCTATAAAACCTTTGTCCGTCCGGTTTTAGATTATGCATCTTCAGTCTGGGACCCATTTACCCAAAAGAGCATTGACAGGTTGGAGGCGGTCCAGCGACGGGCAGCACTCTTTGTCCTGAACCGCTACAGGAATACCTCTAGTGTTGGCAGTGTTGGAAACACTAGGCTGGTCACCATTGGAGGAACGACGACGACTATCAAGGCTGTCCATAATGCACAAGATAAATAATGGGCTGATTCACTGTTCCAGTATTAAACAGAAACTCGTCCCTCTCCCCCATAGACAGCGAAGAGGCCATGACAGGCAATTTCGGCTCATATCAGCAAGAAGCCAGTATAGGAACTGCTCATTCCTGCCAAAGACAATCAGGGACTGGAACAAGCTTTCAAAAGGAACAGTTGAGGCGGCAACACTAGACACATTTGCGTCTATGCCTCAAGCCTTCCAACCCCCAGTGCATGATTCCCTCACAAAGTAGCACTTGCAATCAGTGAAATATCCTCATCAAAACTAGGCACAGAAATATTGCGAATCCCGCTACATGCATTGGAGCAAAATGATCAATAAATTGATCGTGGATCCTTAATATATAGAAGAAGAAATATGCTCATTTTAATTATTTTGAGACCTATAAATCTTTTTACATTACCTTCACTTTTGTAATTTAATTTAAACCCCGAAGAATATCATAAACGAAAACAACAATTTTGCAGGGAATAATTATTTATTGATAAATATTTACAACATAATGCATCACAAAAAAATTAAATTTTTATAGTCTAGGGTTTAAATTGAGGAAATTTGGCTGTTGTCCCAGCAATTGTTAAAACCTCCTTCTTATCTAATATATGAAAATGTGTTTGGCTTTAGAAATGGGACATTTAGGCGTCCCGAGACACTTTTTCAGGACATTGGGTACGATCGTGAAAAAACGGGACAATCTCGTTATACGGGACGTTTTGGTTACCCTATGCTAGGCCCCTGTTTGTTCCTGGCATGCATCAATGACCTACCGAGAAACTGACATCACAAGCTAGACTTCGCAGATGACACGGTGGTGTATAGGACGAACGCCAACAGATCTGACCAGGATCAGCTATAACAGGATCTCAATCGGTTAGCTGAGCGGGAAATGAGCTGGGACATGGAATTTTGTCCTGTCCAGTGCCAGACGCTATCAGTCTCTAGAATTTGTAATCCTCTACACCACCCTTATGAACTGCATGGCCATATACTTGAGCCAGTTTCCTCCGTAAGGTACCTCGGTGTTACCATTCAAAGAGAAATTTGCTGGGGCGAGCATATAAACAATGTGTGCAACCAGGCAAACAAGACACTTGGGTTCTTAAAACGAAATCTAAAGATCGGCAATTCTAGTGTGAAAGAAAGAGCCTATAAAGCCTTTGTCTGGCCGCTTTTACCCAAAAGAGCATTGACAGGTTGGAGGCGGTCCAGCGACGGGCAGCACGCTTTGTCCTGAACCGCTACAAGAATACCTCTAGTAGTGTTGGCAGCCATGGGCGCCCGCAGGTAGTGGCAAGGTGGGGCACTTGCCCCCCCCCCCCCCTGGATTGATTGGATAAAATATTTTTAGACAAAAATATTTGGCCTGAACCGCTACAAGAATACCTCTAGTAGTGTTGGCAGCCATGGGCGCCCGCAGGTAGTGGCAAGGTGGGGCACTTGCCCCCCCCCCCCCTGGATTGATTGGATAAAATATTTTTAGACAAAAATAGACAAAAAATTTATTAAAGAAAAGAGAAAATAAAGAGAAAGTAACTAAGCTGATGTCCTGTCCGTTCCTTCACCATACAAATACGCTACAGTAAATTAAAACTATATTAAAACATTACTAAATTTTTTTGCCCCCCCCCCCTAGAAAGTTTTCTGCGGGCGCCCATGTTGGCAGCAAGCTTGAAACACTGGTCTGTTCTCCATTGGAGAAACGACGACGACTATTCAGGCTCTCCGTGATTTACAAGATAAATAATGGGCTGGTCCACTGCTCCAGAAACTCGTCCCTCTCCCCCATAGACAGCTAAGAGGCCATGAAAGGCAGTTCCGGCAAATACCAGCAAGAAGCCAGTACAGGAACTGCTCATTCCTGCCAAAGACAATCAGGGGACTGGAACAAGCTTCTAAAATGAGCAGTGGAGGCGAAAACACTTGAAAAATTTGCGACTATTGTCTCAGGGCTTCCACTTCCAACCCCCAGTTCATGATACCCTCTCTGAGTGGCCCTTGAAACCAGTGAAATATCCTCTTCAACACCAGGCACAGAAACATTGCGAATCCCCTCTACAAGCATTGGAGCCAGAATGATCAATAAATTAATCGTGGGCCCTTAATATGTAGAAGAAAAATTGAGAAAACCAAACAACAAGTAAAATAAAGTATTCCTATCCGATTCGTCTTACTTATTGACTCACTTACGTACTTGCATGCATCAAGTTTACTAATTAATGTTCATGCTGTGAGCATTATAATTCGGAGAGATAGTGGTATATTCAGGAGTAAGTTTATAAACAGAATGACTAAACTATATTTTTAATTAATAAATATGAATAATAATTAATAATTTTAAAAAATTCAAATAAACTTGTTGTAGCATAATCAGAGGAGAACCAGCTGAGCTGGGCTAGATAACTCTCGGGACAGGGTTGCCAAATCTCCATAATTTACTGATAGTTCGTAAAAGTTTGACATAAACAATATTTTGTCCGTAAGAACTTAATGATTTAGGTCTATGTAAAAAAAAAAAAAAATTGTTCCTTAGGCTTTTAAAAAACTTTCCGACAAAAATATCATGTTTGCCCTTAAAAATTTGAAGGTTTACAATATTTGCCCGTATTTTTTAACATTTATTTAGTTGGCTACCCTGCCTCGGGTGAACTAGATCAAGGATTGTGTCGCTTCGGAATAAAAAAAAACGTCCTGGGCAGAGTTTTTCGTTGGGGAAAAGTCCCAATTTTTGAACCATGCCATACTGTTTGGCAGTAACACTAACTATACCATTGGTTATCGAATTCCCAACCACTCGAAAACAATTATTATATAATATACATTATATAAAACCAATAATAATAATAATAATAGTCTAGTAATCGTCTTCTTCTATATCTTAAGGGCCCACGATCAAATTATTGATCATTTTGGCTCCTATGCCTGTAGATGGGATTTGCAATGTTTCTGTTACTGGTGGTGATGAGGAAATTATGCACTAGGGGTTTGAAGGCTTGAGGCAATAGACACAAATGTGTCTAGTGTTGTCGCCTCAACTGTTTCTTTTGAAAGATGGTTCCAGTCCCTGATTGTCTTGGGCAGGAATGAGCAGCTCCTATACTGGCTTCTTGCTGGTATGAGCCTGAATTGCCTGTCATGGCCTCGTCGCTGTCTATGGGGTAGAGGGACAAGTTTCTGTTTAATACTGGAACAGTGGACCAGCCCATTATTTATCTTGTACATCATGGAGAGCCTGGATTGTCGTCGTCGTTTCTCCAATGGTGACCAGCCTAGTGTTTCTAGCATGCTGCCAACACTAGAGGTATTCCTGTAGCGGTTTAGGACAAAGCGTGCTGCTCGTCGCTGGACCGCCTCCAACCTGTCAATGCTCTTCTGGGTAAATGGGTCCCAGACTGAAGATGCATAATCTAAAATCGGACGGATAAAGGCTTTATATGCTCTTTCTTTCACACAGGAGTTGCCAATCTTTAGATTTCGCCTTAAGAACCCCAAGGCTTGGTTTGCTTGGTTACATACATTGTTAATATGCTCGTCCCAGCGGACCTCTCTTTGAATGGTAACACCCAGGTACTTTACGGAGGAAACTTGCTCAAGAATATGGCCGTGCAGTTTGTATTGGTAGTGTAGAGGAGTACAACTTCTAGAGATTGATAGTGTCTGGCACTTGGCAGGGTGAAATTCCATGTCCCAGCTCATCTCCCACTCAGCTAACAGATTGAGATCCTGTTGCAGCTGGTCCTGGTCAGATCTGTTGGCGATCGTCCTATACACTGCTGTGTCATCTGCGAACAGTCTTGCCTGTGATGTCAGTTTCTCCGGTAGGTCATTAATGTATGCTAGGAACAAACAGGGGCCCAGGACTGATCCCTGGGGGACCCCTGACTTCAC